TTGGTGTTGGTCTGTGGTTTTTGTTTTCATGTAAGGCTCTGGTTTTGTACACGTTTCTTTTGTGTGTGTGCATCGATCGAGGCATTGCGCTGCATTCTTAACATGATATTTTGGGTGATCCCTTTAGTTGTTCATCTCACCTGCCTTTCCAAAACCTGTCTGAAAGGGGATGTTTGGCGTCTTGCATTTATTCTTTTCTTCTATGAAATGGACTTAGCTGAAAAAACAAAGATATTCAAAGGCACTGTCAAAGCAGCATTATCTTTGGGGAAACGAGTGACACAGCTCGCTCTGTTCTTTCTCAAATTTCTGTCTCCAGAGTGACTTCCCCTTTCAAGCATCATATGATTGAAGACTGTGGGAATGCCTTCCCAGAAACCACATGCCATGCCACAGTGATTTGCTGTAAGGTGTGGTCATTCTATATGGTGGCTACAGTTGCTTTACCTTTTCCCACATCTCTCTGGTCTTTCATCCATTCAAAGGAAATTAATGAGGATCTTTCCTCTGAAAGAATGCTCAGTGAGACTATAAATTATGCCATTTAGCACAGCTCTATGGCATCTGTGCCTTCTGATTTAATAGTGGTCCATCTGATGCAGAGATTTGCTTTGTGCCAGTTTTGAAACTGTGTTATTGATATTAAGTTGTGTGCCACTGCACATTCACATCTGTAGTTATTCTTAACAAGAGCAAATTGATTTTCCAAACCATGTCTTCATGTGATTTAGATAATTTCCTTTTGAATATGGAATGTTTTTTGGGGGGGGAGGTTTGTAACTTTATTTAATATTATTTGTATGTTGTGACTGTGGTTTGGATGATCTTGTTCACAGATGTCAGTGTAAGTGCCAGGGACCTGTTAACGTGTGTTGGTGCTGTAAGGAGCACAAGACGACGGAGAATTCCAAATAACAGTCCTTTACTAAATCCACAGAAGAAACACTGGTGAAACTCAGGGAAAATGCAGCACAACAAACATCTAACATCAAACAAACCATAACAGGCAAAGGGCTGAATAGAGCAGGGAGAACTTATACAGAAACTAAACGAGGGAACTAATGAGATGATTAACGAACACAGGTGAACAGAATAAACTAATCAAGGGAACTAAGGAAAACTAGGTCACTGAAAAACGAAGACAGAAGAACAGGAACACAAACAAACAGTTCGCCCCCTCCCGGGAAGGCGCGACCTCATGCCGTAAACTGTCCAACTGTGGAGGGAGGGGTGGGGACTCTGGAGGAGGGCGAGAAGCAGAAAAGGGGCAAAACAAAACATATTCCAGGGCAAATAAAGTAGTCCATGGGGGAGTAGAAGGTGGGAGGAGCCAGGTGTTAAGCCAGAGGCCAGCCACGACGAGGCCCCAAGGTGGAGTCAAGGGATGGAGGAGCCATGGTGGAGAAAGCCTTGACGACACCCTGGGGATGAGCGATGGAGACTGAGCCACTAGAGGTGGAGCCGAGCAGATGGAGAGCCAGGGCGGAGGGCCAAGGCAGAGCCGGAGTGACTGAGGATGAAGGCGGAGCCGGAGGGAAGGAGGAGCCTGACAGAGCCAGAGGGACGGAGTGACGAGGTAAAGCCAGAGGAGTGGAGTCCCAAGGCAACGGATGGTCGACGACTGACCAAGGCGGAGACAGTGGGATTGACGGGCCATGGTGGAGACGAGGGAGCTAGGAGTCAAGGCGGAGCCAATGGGTCAGAGGACCGAGGTGGAGTCCGGGGCTCAGAGGCTGGAGGTGAAAACAGGGGATCCTCACGCCTAGGCGGAGCTGGAGACTGGTAGTCCCGAGGTGGATCAGAGCGCCCAGATGGCGCTGACTGAGGGTGAGCTGAGGGACTGGCAGGAACCAGCGGAGACAGGGCTGAGGAACTGGCTAGCATAAGAGGAGGCAGGAGAGAGAGACTGGGTGGGAGCTTAAGAGTCACAGGGGGTTTAGGAGACACAGGAGAGCTGGACGGAACCAGCGGAGACCCAGGAGACATGAGAGAGCTGGACGAAACCAGCGGAGACTCCGGAGACATAGGAGATTCAAGAAACACTGGAGGTTCAGGGGAACTGAGAACAACCTCTCCAAACCAGTCAATTAGATCATCTTGAAAGATGTCCATAAGTTCCTCTTAATAACCAGAGACCCGTTGCAGCTCACCCTCAATGATGGGAGTGTGGGCGGGGCTTCCCTCCAAGCCCTCAATCTCCACAAGCACTCCCTCAGGCATGTGCAGTGTAGCTCGGCTCACACACCTGGTCAGACATCTCTTGAGGCTCGAGCTCCGGGGCGATGATCGGCTCAGTCGCAGTTTTATGCGCTGGCTCACGTGTCGCGGCAGGCTCAGGCTCTCTGTCTGCGGTGGGCTCAGGCACTTGCTCCGGGCAGCGGGCTGATGGCTGGCTGGTCTCTGGTTCTGGAGTGGGGCTGGTGAAGTCCTCCTCGGCAGGGCAGACGGTGAATTGTGATCCACAACTCACTTCCTTCTTCCGTTTAAAAAAAAAAATCTCCGTCCACATGAAAATGCGAAAGCATGCTATGAAGCACTGTCAAGAGCATACCAAGCCAACAGGTGGTGATATAATCTCAACCGTAAAGCCATGTTGGCCAATCAGAAGCCTGAAAACGTTTCCAGTAGGCGGAGATAACAGCGCATGCTCCGACGTTACAAGCCAATATCTCCGGTTTCGCTGTCTATACGATAACACTGCAACCAGAGTTTTTGAAAATCTTCACCCTGGCAGGTTTCAGTGACCTGGTGCTGCGTTTGCGTGTGGACGAATGGCCAAACCGCATAGAGAAAGCTGTGGTTTTGAAAATACCGGTGTTCGTGTGGACAGGGCCTTGTACAGAAACTAAACGAGGGAACTAATGAGATGATTAACGAACACAGGTGAACAGAAAAAACTAATCAAGGGAACTAAGGAAAATTAGGTCACTGAAAAACGAAGACAGGAGAACAGGAACACAAACAAAAGCCAATAACCGTGACAGGACCTCATGATAGGATTGTTCTTTCTCTGTCAGCACACTTCCTGTCTTTAGGCCATGAAGCTTTCCACACTGACTAGTCATGGCATGCTTTTACCAGTCTTCCATCTTTATCTCTCCTAAGGCATATTCACACCAACAGTGAATTTTTCAGGCTTTAATACAAGATCTCACCCATCTGACAATATGTATGCATATAGTAAAGGATATTACTTTTATTAGTAGTAATCAAGTTTAGAAAAACTCATACTGATTATAATTCTTTATTAATATTTAGCAGCAGTGTAATTTTTATTTATTATTCCATGGTCTGTTGGAATTCTTGATTCTGATTGGCTTTCAGGTATGCATTAAAACCGTTTAATGCACAGGTAGTTCCAAGTCAGTTTAATCACTGTTCTATATTAACGCGCCGCTGCTTTAATTGACACACACAAACGCGCGCACACACATCACTCACACAGAGAGAGAGAGAGAGATCGGAGATCCCGCTGCACACACAGAAACGTTCAGGAGTAGGCCAACATAAACTTGTTGTCAACGCTACCCCGTGACTTTTATTAATAAAATGGCTTAGATACTGGATCACTGCATTATATTCCTAAGCAACGAGGAGGTAAAATCTCTGCTTAATTAACTATACTCACAACTTCATTGTTTGTAGAGAGTAACGCACAGACGCAGGTAATTCACACACACAAGTGTCATCTCTCTCTCACAAACAATCGATATTAATTCAAATAAATGTTATAATTCATTAATTTAAATAAATGTGATCTAACTGCACTATTTCATCTCTGTGTCTAATTTGAAGCGGGCAGAATGCTAGAGCTAACGAGCCATAACTGATGAAAATAATCGTCATTTTTACCCATTCGTGCAAATATTGTGCTGCAATAAGAGCAATACTAATTTTAGCTTGTCTATAACTTGGCAAATGACCATGGAATAAGCGGGATAATCAACGGCTTGCCGTGCATTAAAGGATTTTAAATGCACTTCACGTCGGATGTTTTCTTGGCCTCCACGTCGTGCATTTAAAATCCTTTAATGCACGGCAAGCCATTGATCATCCCTTACATATATAATAATAGTAATTGTAGTAGTAGTAAAAATAATCATATTCATAATAATAATAAAAGTAAACTGTACTGTCTATGAAAGTTGCACACAAGTTTATTTTCTTTACCAGGGATGGAATGAGTTGTTGAAACCTGTTGCAGGTCATATCTCTCCATCCCTTGCCCTGTGGAGAAGGATCCAGTCTGTCTTAAGGGGTCCCTATGAGCCAGAGGAGCCCCGCCTTTTGTTTCCCATTACCCAGGAGTCAGGGAAGTGTGAAAAGTAGGGCGCAGGTCGGGGCTCTTTGTCCCCCTCGGCCAAATGAAAAGTGACAGACACCGGCCCCCTCTCTGTGCCTGTTAATTCAGGCCCCCAGTCCTGCAGAGCCTCTGGGAGCCACTAATTGCATCGAGACAAGCAGGGGCTAAGAGGGAGCAGACACATTATGTTATTAACGCTGGACAGAACCCAACACGAGCCATTTTGAATGGGACACTGCTTAAAGGGGTAGTACAACCTCCAATGTTATTATTTTACTCACCCTCAAGTCGTTCCAAACTTGTGTGACTTTCTTTCATTTGCAGAACAGAAACAAAGATATTTTGAAGAATTATGGTAACCAAGCAGTTTTGGTGACCATTGAAATCCATTGTTATGAACAAAACAAAAATAAACACACACAATGAGGTTGAGTAAACAATGGCAGAATCTACATTTTTGGGTGGAATATCCCTTTAAGTAGCCTTCCAGACTCGAGAGCCGCCATCCTACAGCTCCGCTCTGATACGCAGTCAGGGGTCATGCTCTCACAAGTCACGGCGCTAAGATGGAGGTGCAAATGAATTTGAATACCACTCCAGTTCTCTCTGTCAAGCTTGCTTTCTGGCACTGAGCAAGGAAACATGTCACAATGATGGTTCTGAAACATTAATAAGTGTTCCTCTCTCTTCATTACAGGGTCTTAAACCAGAGAAGGCTGTAAAGAGGCCTTGAAGTCATCATCACGTCACATACTCTTCTTCAGTCTACTCACCTTCACAGCTAATTGGTGACTTCATTTGTCTCAAAAGTGGCAGAGTTCAGCACGACCAAGACAGCTATATAGATTCAAATCTCAGCCAACATGATAAAAAGCCACTCCATGGTCATCATCTTTGGCATTTTGGGAGCTGCCGTCCTTGTCTCGCCGTCGGCTGAGGGTAAGCCAGTTTCATTATTGTAAAGTGTCTACACTTGACCATTGCTTCCCTCTCAGCGGACCAAGCAGACGCTTGGCAGTAGCTGCTGAATGTCTGTTTTGCAGACATTCGAATCACAAACCCCTATAGCAAACAAAAATGTGTTTTTTGTTGTTGTTGTTTTTTGGTTTTGTTTGAGTGAGGGAAGAAGGCGAAAACTGCAGATGACTGGAAGGGTCATCTGTTTTGTTTGATCTGGATGCACAATAGAAATGCAGCAGCAATTTATAATACAAAGCAGACTGAGGCAGCAGGAGAATTGATTTTGCCGTATTTGGATGATACCCAGTGTTTGCAGAAGCCTGTTTTAATGGATGGTGGCCTTTAAAAACATAGCACAGTAATGGCCTCGCTTTTTATTCTCATCAGGCCCCGTAAGCTCAGAATTGTCTCTTCACATTTGCAATGCATTAGCAAACAAACACTATCTGCCAGGATATTCATCTGAATTACATTATTTAATTTTATTGATTTGATGCCCTTCTGATCTTCTCTCATATGGGTTGACAGTAATGGAGACTTTGCCTCCATTTCAGGTAAATGCAGACATGAGGAACTGCACACTGTTTTCTCACAAATGTAACAGTCTGCATTAGAGACTGTTGTGTGGCATTCACGTTGTCTTTAGGCATTCATTCACTCAGCAGTGATTGTCTTTGGAAAATACACGTCTTAGGGCTGAGGTGTAAAGAGGCCGTTTGGGTCACATTTGGCTATGCAGAGAAACAAAGGTTTGGGTGATTGGTTTGAAATTGTGAGTGTGTTTATATGTTAAGGAGAGGAATGGGGGGGGGGAGTGTGTCAATGGGCAATATTGTAGATGTGTGTATTTCAGGTAAATGCTGTTTTTTTCCCTATAGGGTTTTACACTAGTATGTTAATGAAGGCAGTTGTAGGGTGACTGCAATTAATGTTGAAGCGTTAACATTGACAAAGCACTGAATAGCACTACTATTGTCTATTTTACCCCAAGTCTGTCACTTCCAGGTTAATCACAGTTTTGGGGAATGTCATTTAGACAAATTGCTATATACACACTGTTTAACACTGTGTATCTGATACTTATCGATAGCTGAAAGCGTAACAAAAAATATCAAAATAGCTAAAATATTCAATAAATAAACATGTTGGGGATGCATAGAAATTTGTCACTGGTGGGTGGAGTTCTGTTGAGAACCGTGCTGTGTTCTATGGAGATTTTTTGGGCGCCGATTCCATGTGAGCCTAGCTATGAGTCAAAGTATACTTTGTTACATAATATTTTGTTATACAGTCAACAAGTTTTCCAGGCTACAAAACATCACTCAGCAATTTTGCAGTGGTCCACCCTTGTTGCTTAAAAACAGTAGATTCATTGTTTACATTTGAGAACTGCCCACTGATGTCATGAGGTCTTACTATCTGTTTCTGTTTAGTTCTTTGAAGTTTATTTTTCAAAGTGCCTCTCTATTTTAGGCAATGCTATCTTGGAGTCATAAACGCTGTCTATTCTTGGCAACAGAAAATCCATGGGAGAGAGAGTTTTCCTCCCATCAAGAACTAGAGACTCTATGGTGTCTGTTAGAAAAAAACAGATTGAAAGAAGTTTAAATTAGTATGTCAAAGCTCACAACTCCATTACCTCCTTTTAGAGTTAAGCTCATAATATTGTATACAAAAGGAAATGACCAAGGCAAATTAAAGTCTCTGGGGTGCAAATGCATTTTAACTATATTTTCCTCTGTTGTTTGGTACAACAGTTTAAACCATTTTTGTTCACTGCACTGACACAATTTTAACTTTACAGTTGTTTGGAATGGTCACTGTCTGCTTGTAAGCCTAGTTTAGCCTCTTTAAATATATTCTTCCTTCTGCTGTTTCCCTCCCTGTAAAGGAACAAAAGAAGAAATGTGTGCTGGCAGCAATTTCTTCTCACTCGTAAAGTCAACCAGAGCCTTTAAAACAAAGGGTAACTACCCTCGGTCATTGCAAAGGTTCCTGTTAAATGATGAGTGGAAAATGGAGTGCCAGTGAGAACAAGATAAGGGTGAGAGTTGAACTGCAGATGAATGCTGCGGAGCGTGTTTTTTTTTTATGGAAGCTGATCTGAGGGCAGGTTGACGTCTGATACAGAATAATGTCTCCTGACTGCATATGGCGGCACGTTCCTCTGAGAAATGTCATGTCATTCAGCACATTTAACACAGGCTTTCAATCTAGCTAATAAATGAACTTTATGGAATTTTCTGCCTTCAGAGGAGAAGGTGAGGTTGAGCACTTTTAGGTTGAGCCTCACTGGAGAGGAAAACTGGCAGTAAGAGGATCTAGTTACTCAACTGTAAGGAAATTTTTACATACTAGATTATATGATACTATTGAGATCACTCAATTTTACTCAATTTGATTTGTTTTACATCTTTAGGTTTTCCCATTCATGACCTTTTAGCATGAACATATTGAACCCTTTGTAAATCTCAAAATGAATATCCTTCTCAGTGTTTCCCACAGATTTACACTCTATATGTGGCAGCACTTCCCCCGGGGGAAATATATGCTATATGTATAAAAAAGCAGACAGGCTTATTGAAAATGCACATTCATTCTCTGCCAGCAGGAGGCACTTAGGAGCGGCAGAAATTGCGGTTTCCCCGGTAAAAGCAGCGCTAGAATTTTGACTTTGAAACGTGCAGTGCTCATGTTTATTCAGCAAAGTCAAGGCATTTTGGAAAATTATTTGTGGCGGTCAGTGTTGATAATGTGGCGGGCCTCCACAAATAAATCAATGTATGGGAAACACTGCTTCTATACTGTATGTTAAAAGGATTTAACACTGTTTCAATTTAGGTGTTTTTATATTTTTAATTTCTTATTTTATTTTTTATTAATTAGCATTTAATAAATGAATATAACAAATCTTCAGCAAATCTCAAATTGAATATTCCTTTTTTTCAGACCGTTTATTAAAATTTTGTAATGTCAAAATTTCTTGTAGAATTTAAAACAATTTTAGGTTTGGTGTTTTTTATTTTATTTAATTTAGTTAAATTTTTATCTGCTTATCGGTTATCTTCATGAAAACATGAACATGAAAAAAGGATCTGCTTATTGATATTAGGCAGATTTTTAAATGTCATTACATCCCTATGAATAAATTGCTCTTAAATACGTCACTTGTTGAGTCAGTGATTCTGTCCCTCTGCCCTCATTTCCCATGCTGCACTGCTCTACCACACTGGGCCGCCCGCCCGGCCCAACTACAGGAAACTTGTTGAGTCTATTGTCGGTGCTGCGAGTTTCCCTGACACTTTAACTATTTCCTGTATTGTGCTAGCTGACAGGTAGCGGACTAAAGATGCCAAATACAAGCTGTTCTCCGGAAATAATTGTTACTGTCTGACAGTGAAGGCCTTTGATGGTGTGCGTGACTGTTCCTTTCCTTGTTTTTGTAGACCACAATTTCCAAAGCATGTGAATAGAGAACTCCGTTGAGCTTCTGTACAATGACACAAGTTCACTCTAGTGAGCATGTGTTCAGCGGTGCAGCGCAGGAGCCTGTTAAAGGCGATCTGAACTCTCACTTTTACAGCTTGCTGTTAGGTACTTGGCTCTAGAGGTGTCTCCGAGCCCATTAGAGCTTTACTTTCATAAAGGCAGCCAACTTTATTGGTCTGTGTCAGGCAGGCCGTTGTTTTCCACATGTTCCCTTTTTTCCTTCCCTCTCATTCCATTTTTAACAAGCTGGTCTTCAAGCTGGTGCTGGATTAGTACGTGTTGGAGGATTTTGCCCTGAAATGGGAGCCCATGTGATAATTATAATGATCATTATTAAAGAGATGAAAGTAAATAAATAATAATGGCAGGTTCAGGTTAACTGCCACTTAAAGCTTAAGTCGTTCCTGCCAGCCCACAACTGGCCTTTCCACATTTTTCGGTTTCTTTTTGTTGTAAACGTACAGATTTTAATGAATAACCGGTGTAGGAGTTATATAAATAAATGTCTCTAATATTTCAGCTTCTCAAAGAAGGGCAAACCTCCTACGTGTCGTCCCTCAAGGATACATGATTCACATGTTATTTTGATGTATCTAATGGATACCCAGTGATGTATTTTGGCACAAGGACATCTTGGAGGATTTTTGTGTTTTTATTTACCCTCTCCTACGTTTCTGCTGCAGACACTGAGACTGTCATGAGGACCAGTGTCTTGATTATAGGCTTGCGATCCAAACGCCCTCGTAGAGACTTGGCTGGCTCATTGCATCATTTCCTGTTAAGTCTTACTGCAGCACTGAGAAATAATAGCTACAACACAGAGAACACATGGAGATTGATCCACAAAGCATACTACATTTCAGTCTGCGGTTTAAAAATTTACAACCAAAGAACAGCTTCTTTGCAGTCCAGAAGCAGCTAGCATAGCCTGTTCATGAAGGCGTGAAGACGATGAAGCACTCATATTCTTTGCTTACCTCTTGACCAGCCTCCCATTACAGCTTCAATAGTGTCTGAGCTGCCTACTCTACCCTCTGCTTTAATAGGGTCAAACCACAGATGTTTACCCTAGAGTTCACAGTTCAGCTACTGCCTCATCTTACGCTGACCGTGTTGAAGCAACACAAAATGGCATGAAATAGAGTCCCTAAAAAGTATGTGGACACTTATACCACATTTAAAAAACATTGCAAGATCTTAAAAAAAAAAAAAAAGATTTTCAGAAATATAACGCAAGCACACTTTTCAGTCAAAACTTTTCACAAAATTAACTTAGATTTTAAATTATAGATATGTTGTTGAAAATGAAGAAGAAAAAAGTCTTTGACACTTTCTGGTTGTCGAGTTTTGTGGAACATGTTTATAGTTAGTATGATGAACTACGCCGGTGGTTGTTCTGTTAGGACGACTGTTTGAACTTGAAGGAAACGGACTTCAAACATCCATGAAAAATGACTTTGAGACCACAAAAGAAGATATATTGAAGAATGTTTCAGCTGTTCTGTCTCGCTGCCTACTCTACCCTCTGCTTTAATAGGGTCAAACCACAGATGTTTACCCTAGAGTTCACAGTTCAGCTACTGCCTCATCTTACGCTGACCGTGTTGAAGCAACACAAAATGGCATAAAATAGAGTCCCTAAAAAGTATGTGGACACTTATACCACATTTAAAAAACATTGCAAGATCTTAAAAAAAAAAAGAAAAGATTTTCAGAAATATAACGCAAGCACACTTTTCAGTCAAAACTTTTCACAAAATTAACTTAGATTTTAAATTATAGATATGTTGTTGAAAATGAAGAAGAAAAAAGTCTTTGACACTTTCTGGTTGTCGAGTTTTGTGGAACATGTTTATAGTTAGTATGATGAACTACGCCGGTGGTTGTTCTGTTAGGACGACTGTTTGAACTTGAAGGAAACGGACTTCAAACATCCATGAAAAATGACTTTGAGACCACAAAAGAAGATATATTGAAGAATGTTTCAGCTGTTCTGTCTCTATATTAAAAAGTCAGTAGGGTCCAAAACAACACTAGTCCCCAATGATTTTCATTGTATGAACCAAAAAAAAAAACAATAGAGAGAATATCTTCTTAAAATATCTTCTTTTGTGTTCCACAGAAAAAGTTATACAGAATTTTTTGGAATGACATGAGTGTGAGTAAATGATGACAGAATTTTGCTTTTTGGGTGAGCTAAAAAAAAAAAAAAAGAGTGGTTCAGAAAAGTTTGTTCTGGGAAAAGCATCACTTTCTTTGCAGATGCCACTTGGTTTGATATTTTGATGTTTAGTGCAGTGACGTTCAGATATTTTAAAGTGTGACTTAAATGTCCAAATGCCTTTTCGGGCCACTGTGATAAACTACAAGCTTTAACTACACAGTGACATTGCTGATTGGCTTCACCTGGTGCTTGGTGCTCCACAGCACCTGATTGGACGTATAACTGTAGAGTGCTGTGTATATGTTTAGGCCAACTGCATGGAAAATGGAGTCTAAGTGTCTCTTTAAGAGGCTGGCGCTGGAGTCTGAGCCGAGCTGCCTACAGGCTGGGAGAATGCGGTCAGCAGGACTCATTACTGCCTGAGTACTGCCAGACCTCAGACTCCACGGTGACGGCGAGCCAGAATCAAGCACACATGTAAGGAGCATGGCGATGCTCTGTAGATCCGTCTCTCCGAGCTAAGGAAAAACGCAGACAGGGGGAAGGAGAGCAAATGTATTCAGTGGCTTCGCAATGTCAATGAATCACTCGGTGCCTCAGAGGTACTTCAGAGATGTGCTACAAGTCGCATCTGCTCTGATTTAGTAACCCTTCTAACTCAAAACCTGTTTTATGTGTTTCAGCTCAGATAACATTCCTGCGCCCTGCGGTTGTTTGTGTGCCGCTGTTGTGGTTGCGGGCATTTAGCTTTTGCTTAACTCTGCATTGTAGCTGTTAGGACGTGTAGGGCTCAACACATCATAACAGGTTATCCTGCCTTTTACAGTCGCTCCTAAAAGCAAGCCGTGTTTCTGACTACAACGATCGCATTCCTTCAATTTACTGGCCTCTCGCTGAGAGCAGGGCTTTCAGAGCGATACTGTTTTTCTTTCTTTCTTTTTCCTGTCTCTATTCCACCATGTTTATGTTACCGGTTTCCACCTCCATTATCACACTGGGCCCTGTGTGACAGCAACGGCGCCTGGACTAAACTGTGAAGTGATCAAAGATGTTACATCAAATGCTTTTGCCATGTATTTTGAATTTTGCCCTAATGGAGGGGGCCGTGGGACGCCTTCATGGCTTCAAATGAACATTTCTCAAGTGCAAAAACCGAACCATGACACATAAACAGGAGATTTATATCGCTGGCTATCGCAGGAGCATAGCATATGAATGGACTGACTCATACACAAAGAGACAAAGCATTACATGAAAAGAGAGAAGGACTTGAGAGTGTTAAAGGATAATGGTCCAAAAAAAGGCTTAATTGTATTTGTACTGTATGCCATATATTACTTTTTAATTTTGGGGTGCTATGTGATTTGGTCATGTTTTCATGAGATTCAGCTCACAACTTCTACAAACCTTTCTTTTTTGTTCTCTTCTACCCATTAAACACAATTCTCTGTGTCATATCGGAGATATAGTATTCCCATATTTTTACATATAGTATTACATTCACTGCTCTTTGCTTCTGTCAACAACGCCGTAGAAGCATACAAGCATTTCACAGAAGCAGCTGTAACTGCACTTAAATATGCTTTTTTAAGAGTTTGCCCTGCTTCATTGATTGCACTGAATGTGAATGTATTGAAACAATATCTAACAGAAACAATATATTTATATGAGAATCTCACTGAATTCTCCTGTAGTGTGATTCTCCTGTAGATGTTTAACAAGCGGTTTGTTTATTCTCTTCCTCCGATATTATTGTGCCACGTCCTCTTCATTCCCCAGGCTGATATCAGCTCTCAGGGTTTAAAGCGTCCTGGCTCCACGCTTCTGTTTTATCAGACTGTATATCAGTTTAGTGGTCTCCACCCCAGCAGATATGGCTGGAGGTGTTGCTGTCGTGTAACTCTTCTGATAGCAGGTAAGATCTGCCTACTGGATGGAGTTTGACATTTATATTTGTTTGGATTTGCCCAACTACTGTGGGAAATGAGGCACTGTGATTTCAGAGGAACTCTCTAGTCTCCATCAGATATTTGTTAATATTCAGAGAGAGGACTGAAGGAGTCTAAGACGTGGGACAGGTCTGGCGGCTCTAGTAATGAGATCCTAGGTGTGGAATGTGGTGTTTTACTAAACAGCAGCATGCCTGTTTTAGTGTGGGCTTATTTTGACTGGGTTCAGGCCTGCCCGGACCTGCAGGACGAGCAGCAGGGCTTTAAGAGGAAGCACCCACAGCAATACTAAACACATGAGTCTTTGTGCCTGGGGCAATATACACCCTGTCTGTCTGTGACAAATGCCCACGCACTCAGACGGATCAGGTTACAACACAGAGAAATTTCTGATAGCAGGTAAGATCTGCCTACTGGATGGAGTTTGACATTTATATTTGTTTGGATTTGCCCAACTACTGTGGGAAATGAGGCACTGTGATTTCAGAGGGACTCTCTAGTCTCCATCAGATATTTGTTAATATTCAGAGAGAGGACTGAAGGAGTCTAAGACGTGGGACAGGTCTGGCGGCTCTAGTTATGAGATCCTAGGTGTGGAATGTGGTGTTTTACTAAACAGCAGCATGCCTGTTTTAGTGTGGGCTTATTTTGACTGGGTTCAGGCCTGCCCGGACCTGCAGGACGAGCAGCAGGGCTTTAAGAGGAAGCACCCACAGCAATACTAAACACATGAGTCTTTGTGCCTGGGGCAATATACACCCTGTCTGTCTGTGACAAATGCCCACGCACTCAGACGGATCAGGTTACAACACAGAGAAATCTGCATGTCTCTCTCTGTTCCAGTTTTCAATCCTTATTGCCCTCTTTTACTCTCAGTCTATGGTGATCTGTTTTCCTCACTCCCACCTATTTATCTAAAATCCTTTGATTCCTTCCAGTATAATTTAGCACAACATGAAGCGAAATAGAGGGGTTTTGTTTCCAAGTGGCCCAGTGTGGTTTGGTTTGGATTTACAGTTTTACTGCTTTAATAAAATGTTTGATATGACTCAGTGTTTGCGTAATAATGAGCAATAATGATGATTTTATTAGAGACAGTTACATTCTAGGCGGTCTAAAGTCTGATGTCACATATTTCAACCCATCTAGGTGGGCAGAACCCAGACTACATGCTTCATGGCACTGGAGTCAAGCCCGGATCGGATCCAAAGAGACCCCAGGCAGGGGACAGGTCCACCGTGGCCCCAGAGGATGCTGCCCGCTTCCTTAGCTGCTACTGCTCAGGCCACTGCCCCGAAGATGCCAGGAACAACACCTGCGTGTGAGTACACTGTATGCTTTTCCTGCTGTTCACATCAGCCACTTTCCACTTCCTTTAACTTCTCATCTAAATGCGAACACTGTGATTAAACAGTCTTTGTGTGTTTACGCAGGACGAACGGCCAGTGTTTTGCTATCATAGAGGAGGATGAGCATGGCGAGGCTATCCTCACCTCTGGCTGCATGAAGTATGAGGGCTCTCACTTCCAGTGCAAGGTAATACATGAACGGCAGAGTGAAGAATAAATGTTTAAGTGCTGAGGCATTATCATTGACTGAATGTGGTAATTGTTGTCCAGGACTCTCCTAATGCTCAGACCAGACGGACCATTGAGTGCTGTTCCACTGATTTCTGTAATAGAGACCTTCAACCCACACTTCCACCTCATATTCCAGGAAGTAAGTTGCACGTCACTTAAAAAGAATCTAAATATAATAAATATATTTGTCTATATATACACACTTGTTCAAACGTTTGGAGTCTGTAAGATTTTTTTGTATATCTTTGAAAGAAGTCTATTTTTCTTATTACATTACATTAAAAACTAATATTTTTAAATATTGTAACAATTTAAAATAATGGTTTTCTTTTTTAGTAATATTTTCAAATATAGTTTATTCCTGTAATGGCTAAGCTGAATTTTCAGCAGCGATTACTTTAGTCTTCAGTGTCACATGATCCTTCAGAAGTAATTCTAATATGCTGATTTCTTATTATTATAATTTTTTTTAAGTTTGTGATCTCTTTGTAATCCAGAGCCTCCGTTATGGAATGCCCACTTGCTAGCCTTCCTGATCTCCGTGACAGTGTGTTGCTTCACTTTGGTAGCCATAACTGTGGTTTGTTACTACAGGTGAGACTTTTATTTCATAATGACATGTTTATCCAGCTGAAATGTATGAAAGATGCACCTCAGTCTGTTAATTATTGACTAGCTCACTGATAACACTGGCAGAGTCACACCTGTTTAAGATAGTCAAGTAAATTTAGCACCTTTTATGTTTGACCTTAATGCATGGAGACATACTGTAGCTCTAGTAGTTACTGATCTGTATTGTTACTGATCCCTTTTTGGAACGGCTTCTGTGATGTAACATCACATTGAAGGTGATTTATATGATCTGCCTGGCTGTTTGATCAGGTATAAGCTGCAGACGGGACGGAGACGGTACCAAAGAGATCTGGAGCAGGATGAGGCCTTCATCCCTGCAGGAGAGTCTCTCAAAGATCTCATTAGTCAGTCGAGCACTGGCTCTGGTTCAGGGCTCCCCCTGCTGGTGAGGCACTGTACATGTTTTTCATAATAAGAACAGGATTTGAAAAGGTCATTGAAAACAACAAAAATTTCAGAGAATTTTTAAATTGTGGTTTCCAGCTATAAAAATTAATAAAGTAAATAAATTATTTAATTAATTTAAAAAAACCGTCAGGGAAAGGTAATGGACATTTCTTTAGACAGTATCAATGTTTGTAGTTATGCTCAGATCTAATTTTTTATTTTTTTTGCAACTTTTCTCCATTATGATACATGGTTGTCCAATTATGTCGATTCACAGGTCCAGCGCACTATTGCTAAACAAATTCAGATGGTACGTCAAATCGGGAAGGGGCGGTATGGAGAAGTGTGGCTTGGTCGCTGGAGAGGAGAAAAGGTGGCCGTGAAAGTGTTCTTTACTCGTGAAGAGGCAAGTTGGTTCAGAGAGACAGAGATTTACCAAACGGTGCTCATGAGGCACGAAAATATACTTGGTAAGTTCCATTACTAAAATAGGCTAAAATCAGTAGGGACCCCCATTACATATTGGATATATGCATTTTAATTATTTGATATGATACCATTATGATATCATAAGTCAAACATGTATGTTACATTTTAATTTTATTCAAAACTTCATTCAAGGTAGATTTTTTTTGTAGTATTGTACCCTGATATAAAACTTTTACAGATTTGATATTTTATTTAATGCCTCTATTTCCGTATGATTGCTGCTGTGATTGTGTTGTGCCTTTCTTTTTAACATTCACACTCATTCTTCCTATCTTGCTCCAGGCTTTATAGCTGCAGATATTAAGGGCACGGGCGCATTCACGCAGCTTTTCCTCATTACGGACTACCATGAGAACGGTTCTCTCTATGATTATCTGAAATACACCACCCTGGACACACAGGCTCTGCTGAGGCTGGCCTATTCTGCAGCCTGCGGCCTGTGCCACCTCCACACAGAGATCTACGGCACGCAGGGCAAACCTGCCATCGCTCACAGAGACCTGAAGAGCAAAAACATCCTCATAAAGAAGAATGGCACCTGCTGCATCGCTGATCTGGGCCTGGCTGTTAAATACAACAGGTGAAGACACTCTTGCAACACACGCTCAGACATGCATGCAAACACACTGGCAATGAAAAGAAAAGCATCAAAGAAGCATACTTCATTTACAGCTAGTATGCAACCATTTGCAATGCATTGACCACATACTTTGCTTTTATTTTTATTTTTATTTTTTTTAGTGATACCAATGAGGTGGATGTCCCTCTGAGCACAAGGATGGGGACACGGCGGTACATGGCACCAGAGGTCCTGGATGAGACCCTAAATAAGAACCAATTTCAAGCGTACATAATGGCTGATATTTACAGCTATGGTCTCATTGTTTGGGAGATGGCCCGCCGATGCGTGACAGGAGGTGAGTTGTACGTGTGTTATGTGAGTGTATGTGAGGTTATGATAATATGTACACATTTCAAAGCATGTTTATGTCTCTCCTTTCTGAATATGTGATGGATTTGTTTTAATAATGGTATTTTATGTGCAGGTATTGTTGAGGAGTATCAGTTGCCATACTGGGACATGGTACCTTCAGAACCGTCCTACGAAGACATGAGGGAAGTGGTATGTGTTAAAGGCATGCGGCCAGTGGTGTCTAACCGCTGGAACAGTGACGAGGTAAGTTATAGCATTGCAGTTTAGTTCAACATTGCTCTGTTTGAATACGTTTTTGAATAACTCCAAAATTTGGGTTTGGCTAAGCTGAATTTTTAGGAGGTATTACTCCAGTTTTCAGTGTCGCATGATCCTTCAGAAATCATTCAAATATGCTGATTTAATTCAGGATTCTTTGAATAGTAAATTGGAAAGAACATTTGATTTGAAATATTTTTTTTAACAATGTAGAAGTCTTCAAGTTAAAAGTCAATCAGTCTTATCTGCTTATACTAACTTAATTTTGTCAACATGTAGGAATACATTAGCCATATAGTTGACCTCATTGCTAACGGATATGTGCTAAAAGCCACAAAACTTTTGATTTCATGGGGTCTTTAAAAATCACTGCTTTGTAACAGACTATTTTATAGTGTAAAATGCAACCTTAAAACAATTGTGTTTTGTTTCGTCTCCACACAGTGCTTACGGGCCATGCTAAAGCTTATGTCTGAGTGTTGGGCACGCAATCCAGCCTCTCGCCTCACAGCTCTTCGAGTCAAGAAAACACTCGCCAAAATGGTTGAATCACAGGATATCAAAATATGATCAGTTTTCCCTCCAATACCAGTCTGAGAGAAATCATGGAGATATTGATGCTCACTTTTATGAATTATTGCCTCCTAAACAGACCTGTGGGAGTGCTGTCATGTAGCACCCTCTGCTGGACAGTATGTGCCATAACAGACCCACGAGAAACGAAGGACAGCAGTTCTGCAGGCATCGGTACTCACATCATCCCCATCGCCACCATTTTTTCCTTCTTCAGGCACTCTTTTATATATTGGGAGAGAATTGAAGAACATGTGGTGCTTTCTGTGAAAGCTGTGTAATATGATACATCTGCATGGAGGAGTGGCATGGTGCCAGCAGTAATGGAGCCCTGTGGGAGAAGGCTTGAGGATTGACCCTCTGTTATTGACTGACTTGGGAGGCGGACATATTTGGGTTGATATTCGGACTAAACCCCCAACTGTATGCTTGGGATATGCTCAAGATATGTGTGGCTAGCGTCACAAAAAATGGCAACACTGCATTTGGATCCTGTGCAGCTGTGGCCACTGAAACATCAAGAGTGAACGCTCCCTATTTAATTCAATTGACCCATATTATGATATATGTATAAAAAAAAAAATGTCCCGTAAACTACATGTTGATATTTTAATTAATAGCCTTTTTGAAAAATTATTCCTTCAACAGCTTTCCTTTCTGAGAATTTGTCCATGAGATGTTCAAATACAAAACTGAGTGTTAGCAATAAGGTATTCTATTTGAAACCTTCTTTTTCAATCTCTCCGAATGGCAGCTCTGATCTGACTTATTGCAGGTGTGTCCGTGCAGATGTATGCCGACTGCCCCTGAATGCTTCATAAACGTTGTTGTATTATATCCAATAGCCTTCGAGTCAACCTCACTATATCACATCTGATTCATCAGTGTCAGATTGGATTGCCATTTTCAATGCCTCATTTAAAAAGTTTTGCCTTGAATCTAATGTTGTGACGCTTGGGTATCATATGACTCATAAATGTCTGATGTGATAGAATAATCCAAATGCATGTGCTATTTATTCATGTCATATAGTATGAATTACTGTGGTAAGATATTTTTACTTGCAGGACTATTAACACTGTTCTTGTAAGTTTTCAATGCCTCATTTAAAAAGTTTTGCCTTGAATCTAATGTTGTGACGCTTGGGTATCATATGACTCATAAATGTCTGATGTGATAGAATAATCCAAATGCATGTGCTATTTATTCATGTCATGTCATATAGTATGAATTACTGTGGTAAGATATTTTTACTTGCAGGACTATTAACACTGTTCTTGTAACTTGTGACTTTCTCAATGTTTTCCAGAGCAGCTCAACCTTTCAAATATTAAATTTATGACTATAAGATGAAATTCTACATTTAATAACTTCCTATGAAAGTGTGGGTGAATTATCATTATTTGTCTTTGATATAATGTGTAAAACTAGTCCCTTTATCTGTAATTTACTGAAAAGTCAGGACATACAACTTAAGTTCACCTTTCATATACATGAAAATTGTTAGCACTATACAGGTTACCTGTACAAAATACAGGTTTAACGTCAAAACCAGGGTACTTTGCCTTGAAAGACAAGTTGGTCATTTCTGCCTTGAAGATCAGGTTATATCATTGGGGTGCATTTAAATAAGTTATTATAGCAGACTGGGAAATATAAATTATACAGTTACAAAAACCTTTGCTTTGCATTGAAGATTCAGATCTCCCATTGCTTGTGTGTCTTTTCTTATTGTTTGGGCTGCAGTTGTGCTCAAGCCTATTCTGTCCATTACAATCATGCCAGTTAGCGAAAATCACATTTGAACTCATTTAAGCTCATCTGGCTTGATAAATGACTACACAATGCGTTTGACTTAATTGTTTAATGTGTAAGGAAACGTGTAAAATGGCCTGAATAATATTAACTTTTTTTTTTTATTGTGCACAATATCTGGATTTAAGAGAGGTGCCTTATGTTTACCAAGAAAATCTGTTCTGTACACAGAATTAGTCCAATGTATAAATTTTTTAAGTAAATTGCCTTATTTTAGTACACAAACATTGTTTAAATCTTGATTGACATTTGCATTTAATGTGATCATTTGAATGCATGATTTGCAGGATGTCCATTTTTTGTACAGAGTTTCCCTCACTATTGGTACCTTTTGTTTATTCATATTGCCTAATAGAAACTGGTTCCATTACTTCCATAATGTATTCCTTGCCTTATTATTAGATCCTCCACAGATCAACAGAAGGACTGTTGTTATCTAACTGTGTCTGTTATATAACTGTCTTCCTCTTATTTCTTTAACTTACCTTGTTTTCTCAATATTCCAAAATCAGTTACAAAACATAATATTTCAACAAGTATTTTTGGCACCTTCAAGAAGAGGCTGCATGCATACAAAATACAGCAAGACTCAAACGTATCCTCCCATTCCTTGGTTGCTCACCCATTTCTCTTCACAGCATGTCCTTGTGCTCTGTAATGAAGAGCAATAGTCCAGACAGTGTGTTGTCCCAAGGCTGCGCTTTTCGTAATGATCCATGCATCAATTCTAATGTAACTGTCTCCCCTTGCCGAAGCTCCAGCAGGGAGGCTCGGCTAACTGGTCCCCTTTTTTCACCTTGTTCCTGTCTGAGAGAGGCCACTGGAACTCCACTGCACTTCAGTACAGCCAATGAAAGGCCTCTCTCAAAGTCTAAGGTCACTAAGAAGAGATAGAATCCAGTCTCAGTTGCCTGGAACACCCCTGATGTAGGATTAAATGTACCACCATAGTTCACAGCCAAGTTTTTCGATGTGAGCTCCCCATTTGGTCCTCTTCTGTTGTCCAGGCTTGTTATGAACACCACGGGGGAATGTGGTAACTGAGCATGTTCTGAAGAGATGAAATTATATGATTTTTAGGTAAAAAGTATCATTTTCAGTTAGAGAAAAAATGCTTTGTCATGATGTAGTTTTAGTGTTGTCCATTGAGGGGCAGTGTTGTTGTATGTCCACTATGCCCTTCAGTACCAAATTACTACTTCATTCATATTCAAAACTAATGGCAAATGAAATAACTGTATTAATAAGATCTCTTACCTCTTTCTATGTATCTTTTTCTTCGTCCACTGGAAGACTTTTCTTCTCTTTTGATCAGATCTTCTTGCTTTTGGCTCCCCCTTCTCTTGCCTTCTTTCTTTCTCACCAGTCTCCAAACTTCATCTAGATTCAGGCTTCTAGTCGAGCTGGCTAGTTCTTCTGTATTACTGAACAGGTTTTGAAACATGTTCAAATGATCCTCCAGGGTCTGATGTAGGGATGCTATATTTGCCTGCAGTTCTAGAACAGAACCACCAGAGGGCCCAGTGCAGTTGCCACAGCGCTCTTCCAACATGGTTATTCTACCTGCTAATTGCTCCACCTCTTTTCCCAGACTCCAGAAGTCACTGACTGAATAATCAGCATCCTCCTCTCCAATCGAAGGGTCTGGTAAAGAGGACTGGTAACTTTCAGGGCCCCTTGCCTGGTTATTTGTACAGGGCCCCTCTAAGTATGCCACCGGGTCATTGCTATTCATCTCATCTCCATCAGGATGCTTTCGCCGAAGGGAGGCCAGAATCCTATCATGTGTTTCAATCTTTTGCTGCATCACAGCCATTCTCTGTAAAAGATCTGGGATACTGAGGTCTTTCTTTTGGCTGTGTGACCAGCGATAGAATTCCAATACCTCCTCTCCGAGTAGCACTTCCAGGACTTCAGAATGGCGTACAGCATCATTCAGGAGGGAAGAGAAGGTGGCTGATAGGCCTCGAATTGCATTATTTCTCTTCACAGCATGTCCTTGTGCTCTGTAATGAAGAGCAATAGTCCAGACAGTGTGTTGTCCCAAGGCTGCGCTTTTCGTAATGATCCATGCATCAATTCTAATGTAACTGTCTCCCCTTGCCGAAGCTCCAGCAGGGAGGCTCGGCTAACTGGTCCCCTTTTTTCACCTTGTTCCTGTCTGAGAGAGGCCACTGGAACTCCACTGCACTTCAGTACAGCCAATGAAAGGCCTCTCTCAAAGTCTAAGGTCACTAAGAAGAGATAGAATCCAGTCTCAGTTGCCTGGAACACCCCTGATGTAGGATTAAATGTACCACCATAGTTCACAGCCAAGTTTTTCGATGTGAGCTCCCCATTTGGTCCTCTTCTGTTGTCCAGGCTTGTTATGAACACCACGGGGGAATGTGGTAACTGAGCATGTTCTGAAGAGATCAAATTATATGATTTTTAGGTAAAAAGTATCATTTTCAGTTAGAGAAAAAATGCTTTGTCATGATGTAGTTTTAGTGTTGTCCATTGAGGGGCAGTGTTGTTGTATGTCCACTATGCCTTTCAGTACCAAATTACTACTTCATTCATGTTCAAAACTAATGGCAAATGAAATAACTGTATTAATAAGATCTCTTACCTCTTTCTATGTATCTTTTTCTTCGTCCACTGGAAGACTTTTCTTCTCTTTTGATCAGATCTTCTTGCTTTTGGCTCCCCCTTCTCTTGCCTTCTTTCTTTCTCACCAGTCTCCAAACTTCATCTAGATTCAGGCTTCTAGTCGAGCTGGCTAGTTCTTCTGTATTACTGAACAGGTTTTGAAACATGTTCAAATGATCCTCCAGGGTCTGATGTAGGGATGCTATATTTGCCTGCAGTTCTAGAACAGAACCACCAGAGGGCCCAGTGCAGTTGCCACAGCGCTCTTCCAACATGGTTATTCTACCTGCTAATTGCTCCACCTCTTTTCCCAGACTCCAGAAGTCACTGACTGAATAATCAGCATCCTCCTCTCCAATCGAAGGGTCTGGTAAAGAGGACTGGTAACTTTCAGGGCCCCTTGCCTGGTTATTTGTACAGGGCCCCTCTAAGTATGCCACCGGGTCATTGCTATTCATCTCATCTCCATCAGGATGCTTTCGCCGAAGGGAGGCCAGAATCCTATCATGTGTTTCAATCTTTTGCTGCATCACAGCCATTCTCTGTAAAAGATCTGGGATACTGAGGTCTTTCTTTTGGCTGTGTGACCAGCGATAGAATTCCAATACCTCCTCTCCGAGTAGCACTTCCAGGACTTCAGAATGGCGTACAGCATCATTCAGGAGGGAAGAGAAGGTGGCTGATAGGCCTCGAATTGCATTTGACTTGTCCTCATCCCGCTGTTTCAGGCCTTGCATCTCTTGCTGGCTGTCCAGGAGTGAAGCCTGTAGCTGGGACATAGTGTCTTGAAGACTCCTGCTTCTGCCCTGCTCAAAAGCCAATGTCTCCTTTATATTCAGCAGGCCCTGATGAAGATCCTCCATTTCGGTGGCCTGAATCCTTTCTAGATCTGCCTCCTCAAGTGCAAGTTGATTCTCTTTTGCTAACTGTGTCACATTAGCCACCTCCAGCTCCAACCTAGCTAGTGAACTGCCAATCAATTTACAGCTACAGGCTTGTTCTGCAATTACTGAATCATTTCTATGTAGTTGTTGGTAGATGTTGTCCAGGTCAAACTCAATTTCTCTCAACTGACCCTCATGTGCACTTAGGTTAGCTGTAAGCTCGCCAACACTGTTGAGCACCCTGACGCGAGTAGCCTCCACCTCCAGACCGGTCTCTGCAAAGTGGACCTCAGTGCATTGTTTGACCTCTTCTAGGCTCTGTCCCAGGTTCAGTAGGTCTCTTTGCAGAGCCCGGACAGCTCTATCAGAGTCCTTGGAAGTCTCAGACAAGCTGCTGAGCTTCGCAGAGTTACTTTGTGCCTTCTCATGTAGTTGAGTGATGGCCTCCCACACTCCTGACTCCTGTGTTGGCTTGCCTCCACTAGGATTGACAAACTCCGCTCGTTCTCTCTGCAGTGCTCCTTCCAGCTTCCTCTGGCCAAGTCTCACCTCCTCAACCAATTCAGATAGAGACTGGCGATTCACCTGTTGATATAACACACAATTTGTTCATTTATGCACTTTTTTTATGTGTTGGGATTTTTGAGTAGCCATTTCAAGGAGTCCTGGCGAATGAATGACCTGTGTATCATGACTTTGACCGATCTGATCATCCATCTCTTCCTTCAGTTTTGTTAGGTTGTGTTTCAGCAGTTCTTGCTGGGCCTGAAAGGCCCTCTCCATCTGGTCTTTCTGTGTATCCAATTGGGTTTTCATATGACTGATCTGGAGATGACTGGGCTCTAGTCTCTGCTCGATAGGTCCACTGTGACTTTCGCCTCTGTTCATGAACCTGTTGTCTTCCTTTTCCATCCGCAGTTGCTGCAAGTCCTGAGACAATGCGTGCACCTCACTGGACAGATGCTTCAGTGTTTGATTGAAGCTTTCCAGCACTGGTTGAAGCTGACTCATCATAGTTGACATTATCTGATGCATCGACAACAGAATGGATGAATCAAGGAATGGCAAAGGCTGAGAGGTAGGGATCCCTTCTCTGGCACCTGGAATATTGATAACAAGCCACTCTAATGTTGAAGACATACAATTTTTATACATTTCAGATGTTATTAAGTGCAAAAACAGTGGGCGAATACTCAGCTTGTTATGTGTGTGCCATATTAAATACACATTTAAAATGACTTCATGTCTATATCAGCATATTGATTCCTCACACAACCACAGAAATAGCTTTAAATCGCTGAGCTCATGCAGACAATCTCCTTGCCAGAACCCTCGTCCCTAGAGTATATCACTGTGCCTGATGGGCCCTGCATGAGCTTTTATGGTGTTTTCATCAGAAATAAATAACCCTTTCCTTACATGCCTCCTAAACAAACACATCTCACTATGTCGCTGAATATCTAACTACAGCTAATGTATTTCTAATGGATGTTCCTTCTGTATTTGCATTTAAACAGAATGAGCTCAGTGGTGATAAAATTTTCTTTGAATGAGGCTAGATTCAAGGAGAAACTATAAACCTCTTTCCAATCATCTATTCTATGACTCATCTTGAGCATGTGGTTCACTGATGACTTTTTGCCCTGTCTCCTTCCATCTATGGGTGATCACATCATGGTGGAGTTTGTTTATAAGAAAGAGGATATCCTCCAGAAGATGTCATTGTTCAAGTAGTCAAACCGTTCACTTTTTGATGGTGAAATCTCACAGTATGGATACTGTAATGTGTCAGACTAAATGTTTTTCCTTGCATGCCTAGGTTTGCTGGCCACAGACTTGGCATCTTACCAACAGGACTCTGGTTTGGTGAATAACCATAAATGGGAGCCTCCTGTAGAGGTTTGTCAGCCCAGTTTGCATCTTCCAGTTGGTCAGTCCCCATTTTACCTCCTAGAGAAGAACAAACACATTTTGTTTGGAAGGAGAATGTGGGAAGCAAGTTAACCACAACATCTCAAGTTTGAGGGTAAATTTTGGGCCCACGCATATGCCCAGTTGAGAGGGGTTATTTGAGACCTTTACAGTGCTTAAAATACTCCACAAGTTATATTTAATGACCCGATATTACAGAATATTATATAACCACAATTATTTTTACTAAGCTTTTTTTTTTCCGTGATATAAGGCTTAAAATATTTGGCACACATGAGACTCTGGTAAACAAACACACCAACTTCAAAGTTTAAGTAAAATATTACATTGATTAATGTGATTTAAACTGCAAGAGTGATGAGTAGATTAAATGACATATTAGACCGTTTCATGACTTTTACAATGGCATGAGGGCACAAAGGATAGCTTCTAGTAACAGTCTGGGAAAATTTTCTTCCATCAAAATATTCATCTGCCAGATATTTTGGATATGTGGAGAACATAACTAAGTTGTTGTTATTCTTAACCACGATTGTTTACATTGCTTCTCCAGCTATTCAGTGCCAGCTGACTGTCCCTTTCCTGCTGAAGGACACTCACTGAGCCAAAGCAAACTTGCAGAAAAAGAAAAGGTATGAAAGGTTAAAGGTAAAGCCAGACTTGCCTGAACTGCCATTGTCATTAATCTCAGACTTTAAAGCATGCTTCTCATCCTCTGGAGGTTTGCCTGGAAAATAAAGATAAAGAGGAAACAGCAGATGAGTCACCAAAACTGGATGGGCTACTCAACTGATGTGTTCCTTTTAAAGTGGCATATTATATACATATGTTTTTGTTGTGTAAAAATGACACTGAAATTCCTCATATTTGCATGTAATGTTACCTTTTTCCAGGCAGTTGTGTCCTCCATATCCTGGGCAACATTTAAAGTGCATAGAAGAAAGTGCTATCTGCTTCTGCTTGTATACAGGCTGTGAGGACTGCCTATACCTGATCATCATCATCATCATAATCATCATTCAGAAAGCAAACCAAAGCAGAAACGTATGATCTGAGGTTGTTTGAGTTTGTGACTTACGTGATGATTTGGCAGTCAGGAGCACCATCAGAACAGGGGTTCACAGGTTGAGTCTCCGTAGTGCAGAGTACGGCTGTGGTGACCATACGGTGATTTACATATGCACACCAGTTTCTGGCAGGAGAGAGGAGGTTTGGGAAGATAAAACATGAAATAAAAAAGAAAGACAAGGGAAGTGTGTAAGTTGAGAGCATGAGATTACAGGCAATCACAGACTGATGAAGATAAATGTCTCGAGTCTCTATTTTTTCCTGGTGTACCCTTCCCAACATGCTCGGGGCTAGATATAATTGCTGAGCAAACGGTTTTATATGTCCTTCTATTGGCAAGTTCGTTGTGTTTGTTTTTAGCTTTCTGTTATATCAGAGAGAATCTGATGAGCCCACATT